AAGAAGTACAATATATATATATATATATATATATATATATATATAAAACATATAAATATATTATTATTATACAATCTACTTATATAAATCTACAAATCAATCTTTTTATAAATATGCAATAATTTTTTATTAAAAAAAATTCTTAAATCATGATAACGAAGATATAATATTATCTTGTTATTTACTGCATGCGACAATACTAGTTAATCAAAGTGTGCTTATTTTCAAACTTATTTATTTTCTCAAAGGAACTCATTTATTTTCGAGGAAACATTTTACGGTGCAAAAAAAGAATATACCGCTATGTTTATTTTTTTTTACTCGATTAGCGCGTTCAGGACGATGGAATTTCGATATAATCCCTTGTGCGGAATCTCGAAGCGCGATTCTTCTCAAGAAAAACACGTCGCGCGTAGCCTTCATTATGGAACCGGTGAGCCACACGACGGTGGATCTCGCGTTTCGTACGAAAAAACGTGATTCCGAGCGACGATTTTTCCAGATCTTTCGAGTGATGCCGGCATCTCCTCTTCGTCAGACGAATATAATTCCACGACAAACATCTCGGCTGTACCTCGATGGTCGCTACCGGGATCTGCAGCACGATCGTCGTTGGTTTCTGTGGCCCGGGGGAACGAGTTCCGGTTTTTATTCCAGGGAACGCGCGCCTCGGAAGCCAGCGGCGCGTTCGCCGTCTGACAGCGGCCAGGATTGACTCGTGCACGTTTCTATTCCGACCTTTCAGGGTTCTACCAAGTGTCGCCAACTCGTGACTCGCGGCCGCGCGACGTTCCTCGCGCGAGTGCGTGCGCTTCGTTCCTTTCCAAGCGAGGCTGCTCGTCGCCGGAGGCGAGTTTTTCGCGAATCGCATCCTAGATTTTAATTTGACATTTTGATACGCCGGAAATATCACGCGTTACTTTGATGCCTCGTAGAGACAGCGAACGACAAGTTACTTTCAGCATCAAGGATCGTATCATGCGCGGACGATATAAATCTAAGATAAGGCGCAATTTGCATGATAATCTAAGTTAGTTCACTCAGTTGAGCCAGCAATTTAATTGAACTGTACGTGTTGATCGGGGGTCTAGGCAGATGTTTCCTCAGATGAAGTTCCGAGTTTCCGGTCTGGACGCCAAAGCCAAGTACATCCTCCTGCTAGACATTGTCGCCGCCGATGACTACAGATACAAATTCCACAACAGGTAGAGGTTTTTGCGTGGTGTAGAGAAAGCGAAGGCACTCGTAAAAATATAATTGTCGCGGGCAACTCGTGTCAATGATCTCGAGAGTTTTCTGAACATCGCATGTATAATCTTTCGGTCTTAATATCTGTACTTTATTTTTCTCTTCTCTTTATGGCGATGTTCATTAAATATATTTATTGCACGAAAATAATGTTCTCCCACTTGTCGAGATTATTGAAATCTGGTGTCCAACACAAAAGCGTCGTATCGAAAATGATGATTTTAAGCACGGTTCCCCCCATTACCGTGGGGAACAGTAAAAAAAATTCAGCAGTGAACGGCAAAACTAATGTATGGTATGTGTCTTTTTTGCGATTGCAAAATTGTTCGCAGACGCATGTTCCCCGCGTATAAAGTGAGGGTGTTCGGGTTAGACAAGCAGGCTAGCTACATACTTCTAATGGACATCGTGGCATCGGACGAATGCCGATATAAATTTCACAACAGGTGATACCCTTGACCCTGCGCGGTCGTAGCGATCCTGGATCATTTTTTTTTAATTACAAATTGGAGTCACAATCGTAATGCAATAATGTTTAAAAGACTTTCTCTGAGGGGAACTTAATATCTCTTTTTTTTTTTTTTTTTTTTTTTTTTTTGCATAGGAGGTAAAGCATTTTCGGAATTACATTTTTGAAATAATGATCCTGGATCGGTCCCAATGCGCGAATTACATTATATATACCAGGAGACTCTCCTGAAATAAGTGTGGAGCGTGCGCTGCGAACAATTCCTCATACTCGTCGAAAATAATTTATTCATAGTCCTACATCATCTTATCGCGATCTTAAGTCCGACTAAACTATCCCGCTATGTATAAAAAGTCTATGTACTATTTTTGTAGTTCTCGTGCGAAAAGTCAATTACGAAATATATCTCGATATTTATTTATACACAAATGTTTAATTAATATATATTTATGTTTGTGTACTCTTGTGAACGTAGCAACGTTTATAAAAAGAAATAATGAATGTTTGATTCTCTCGCAGAAGTGCCACGTAAGGGAAGGACCCATGGGAAATTATTTCGACTTGTATGGGGATCGCAAGCCTTCACATTAGTTAACCGAGATGCCTCGTGAATTTCGTGCCTTTATATTTCTTAACATCCCGTGTCTCACCGCGTATTTCACATATTATATGTAAAGATTATAATTTTTTTTAAATTACATTAAGCAGCCGCGCGTTGATAATCATTTAATATTCCAACATATATCCTCGCGATTTGAAAGTGACTTCCACGTTTGTTTGCTCGTTTTCGTTTAAAGTTTCTCTCGAATTTGGCCAGGCGCAAATATTTGCTTAGCTACAAAAAACGTGAACGATCGTGTATTTCTTTCGCATACTTTCGCGCACTTCTCGACGGTACCGGGACTTTTTCGCAACGGACATCGGATCGCCGACTCGTTCCGACAGAGGGACTCGATTAGCGCTCTCCATCTTGAGAAAATTCTTGCGAGGCATCTCCGATACCGACGTGCGGACGATCGAAAACGCAGACCACAATGAACGATTACATCACGCCGGCGACCGCAGCCACTTTGGAACTCGTCGAACGAGTTTCTTCCTTCGGTCTCCTCCGTGCTCGAGTTTGACCCACCTGCGACGACGGGAAAGAGCACGAATGATGGACACGCCTCCCTTAAAAGACAACAATCATGTCCGTTTGATACTCGCGGCAGGTCGAACTTACTCGAGCCAACGAGGAACCCCAGGCGTCTCTTTTCGGCTTGTTCTGGACCATCGGTTTCGTCGCCTGCGTTTAGGGACAAGCACGAGCGGGTACCCCTGGAGGAAATTGCTGGAATCTATTCGATTATCGGAAGGAATGATTAATACGTGCGCGTTTCAAATTAGAGTCAAACTCTAACTAGATACGTCGAATAAAAAATCAGCTTAATCGGATAAATTATAATCTACTCTAGATAATTCTACGTAAATTAAATTTCTCATAGGCTCTCTTGTTTAAGATATAAGATCAAATACGAGCTAGGGATCGACATCGAATTAAATTATTAGTCTATCCCATCGGACTATTTTCTTATGGTCTGCGTTTCGATCTCAATGATTTGTGCTAAGTAACGATGAAGAGCATTTTCCTGCCACTTCGTCGTTGTCGAGGCACACGTCACGTGGCGAACTGCATCTCGTAACCTTCTAATACGTTTCTTACGCGTGTTGCGAGCAGTAGGTGGATGGTGGCGGGTAAGGCGGATCCGGAAATGCCGAAGAGGATGTACATACATCCGGACTCGCCCAGCAGCGGCGAGCAGTGGATGCAGAAGGTCGTGAGCTTCCACAAGCTCAAGCTCACCAACAACATCAGCGACAAGCACGGCTTTGTAAGTACTGTACGTAACGCCAACCAAACAATTACTTACTTACTAGCTACTCTCTAAGCTTGCTTCTTTAGTTTGCAATTAATCGCTAACTTGAACCTGCCTGAAACGTGCGGTGACAGGCCGATTCAAAATTGCGAAACGGCCGTGATCGATGTGCATGCATGCGACATATTCCGCGATAAATTTCGCGCAACGATGACGATCGATGGATTACATATAGAATTAAATCAAGCCATAATGTATAAAAATATTTTTAAAGCTCAAGAGGGAGTATTTATTAAAACGTGATGATGATCTTTGCACGCGAAAAAGAATTAATAAAGAGAGCTGACATTTCTAGATAAGAAGCATCTATGTAATACTCCAATTATGAAGTACACCGGTTCTATCTGAATAACGATTCTCCTGTTAATCGCGTATACATCAGCGAAGAGGCCGAGATTCGCAAGATCGATCGAGAAACCGGAAACGGAGCAGTCGCGTTCCTTCACAACGGTTCTGAAGGATCTCGTCAGGCGCGCGCGATCGGATTTCCGCGCGGATACCTAACCGCAGCGTAATCCTGGGATTAAGTTATCGCGATGGATTTCGCCGTCAAGTAGTTCGCTCTTTCCCCCACGCTTCTTCCCCCGTTTCGCGCTCCTCTTATTCGTCTTCTTCCTCTCTATTAGCCTCGGCCGCCTCGGTCCCCTTCCCCCCCTTTGCTCCCGCTTCGCCGTCGTCTTTTCTTTCTCTTCGACGCGCGGGTCGCGCGGAAGCCAGCATTAACTAAAGAAGAAGCCTGTCCCCTTTCTATGGTAGTTCTGTCTCTCTTTCCCTACTTCGTCCTTTTTTTGCGAATCCTTTTTGCGGCAGCCCGTCGGCGCCCTTTGAAGGATCTTGCATCGCTGGCTCGTGAAATCTAGTCCTCCTTACCCAGAGCCCACCCGATGTCAATGGCTGGCTGTCGAGCAGTGCGTGGCAGATCGACCTTTGTTAAGACCACTCTTCTGCGTCTCCTCCTTCCCCTTTCCTTCCTTCTAATCTCCTTTCTCTTTCGACGTCTGTCTCTTTCTCTTTTACGAAACACTCGCATAAACATCTACGCGCCGGGCGAAGGGAGAAAAGCGAAACGAGTACTTATAAGAGAGCGAAATGGATACGGAGATGAGGGACGAGAGAGAGAGAGAAAGAGAAACAGAGAGAAAAGGAAGAGAGGGGGCGAGAAGGAGAGACAGGGAGCAACGGTAGATTGTCGTCGAAAGGTAATGTGGCCACGATATTATGCATGGTTCACCTACATCGTGTGACGGGGCAGCGGGCGTGCGTCTTCCGCCCTTAAGAGGGCTCTCTCTCTCTCTC